CGCCATGGAACGAACAGGTCCGGAGGTTTTCCGCCGGCGTCGGCCGGGGGCCTTCGCAGGGTCCCGAGACCGTCCAAAAAAACGATCCAGGATGAAGAGCCGGCCCCGGGGAAGGGGTCGAAACTTCGGGGGGCCGCGCATGGAAAGAGACAGGACGTCGCATGTGCGGCTGCGGATTGGTGGGGTGTCCACCAAGAGGGGGGGGGATCTGGGGAGATACAATGGCCCTAGCCATGACATCTCCCCAGACCTCACGGCACTTAGGATTTTTTTCCAGGAGGGGGAATCAGCACACAGACATACTTAGATGTCGACTTCCACGAGAATCTCGGGAAATATGGGAAGTGTGGGGGAGAAGACAAACATCCAGCAAAGATAGGAAAGTATGGGGAACCATGGATTTGTGTGTTTTTATTGTAGTGGCCTCGGGCCAGTGCCGCCGATCGGGGACGCTTCCGTTGCTTCCGGTGAGGATGATGATGAGGAGTGGGAATGGAGGCGACGGAGTAGGATGAAGAGGAGGAGGACAAGGATCATGATGAGGTGGGAGGAATTTGAGGGGGTAGGGGCAGGAGTTTGCAGGATTCTGAGGATGAGGAGGAGCAGGGGGAAGCGGGATGTGGAAGAGCGGGAGGGGGAGAAGAAGGAGCATGACGAGGATGCAGAGATTGTCGGCGGTTGTTGGAGATGTTCGGCGGTGGTTGGAAAGCCTCTTTGGGGCCAGGTGTTGGCCCTCTTCGGATTGACACCTCGCCGAAGGCTCTTCGGGGGCACTCTTGGTTTCGGAGAAATGGCCCCTGAGGGAACGAGTCAGCAACGACGAAATGGCCACCCCACGGCCTGCCGGGCGAAGCAACGGCGATGTCGTCGAGTTTTGTCGTCGTCGTCGTCGATCGTCGTTGTCGTCGTCGTTGATCGTCGTCGTCGTCGTCGCCCCGGACCCGTTTTAGACGGCCCCGCGGGGGCCCGAACGAGTTTTCTGGCCATCCTGGACACCCGCAGGAACAAAACAAAGAAAAACAGTACAAAATATTCAAACGTTATGTTGATTCGCCAACGCGACGCTGCAAATGCCTGCGCAAAACACATTATCCAAGCGATGTTGTGTTAAGACTCGACTTCTCAGGGGTCATGTATCCGACTTTATATTCAAAAACTCGTTTACTGGTTTCGTTTTTTGGTTGGGCCGGGTTGCGTGCGTTTCTTGGCCTTGTTTGTTGAAGGTTGCGCGGTGCCTTGGGGAGTTTGGGGGGCTCGTGTCCGGGTGGGGCGAGTTCTCTTGTCAGCGCCTGTCTTCTTGAACGCGAAGGGGGGAGCAATAGTCGGAAGAGGAGGAGGAAAAGGAAAAGGAGGAGAAGGTGGAACTTGAAGAGAAGGACATGGAGGCGGGGGATCAGGTCGAAGAGGTGGACTTGTCTGCGTCACCGCTCTTTGTGGAACTTTGTGCATCACCGGTCTATGCCGGAAACCACGATGTTTTTGGGGTCTCTGGGGCCTTCGCGCGGTCCTCGGCGGGTCTTTGCGATATCATGGATGTGGAGGACGCCGAAGACGGGAGATGATGTGAAAGCATAGGGGAACTTGTTGTATTGCAGCGCTTGTGTTCAGACGTAAGCGTTGTGGAAGCATTGTGGGGCCAGTTTTGGGCTTCTCGGGGGGGTTCTTGGAGGCAGCTTGGAGGCCTCTGGGAAGGCAAGGCGTCTTGGATGCATTTATTGAAGCCCTTAGGGGGTTTCACAGGGCCTCTTCGGGGCCAGTTGGAAGCGTTTTGGGGCCTCAGGCCTCTTGGGGGCCTCAGGGGGCCTGTTGGGGGTTTCTTGGGCCGTCTTCTGCACTTCTTCCGCCGTCTTGGTACCCTGTCAGGCGCTTGTTGGGCCCTCTTGGGCCTTTCTGGGGGCCTCCTGGGCCATCTTGAGCCCTTATTGGGCCGTCTTGGGGCCCTCTAGGCGGCTCTTTGGTCCGTTCTGGACTTCTCTTGGGGCGTTTGCGAAGCTCTAAAGGCTCAAGAAGCGAATCTGCTAAAAATGTACGTTTTCCATACGGAAAGGGTATGTTTTTTGGTTGTTGGGCCTTCCTTGGGAAGCCTTGTCAGGGCTTCTGAGGGCATCTTGGAGGCTTCTGGAGCTGTCTTCGGGAAATCTTGGGCGTCTTGTGGCGATTTTTCGGCGACTCGGGGCCCTCTTGGCCCATGTTCGGGCCCTCCTGAGCGAGTGGGCCGTCCTGGAGTGAGCTGGAGCTCCGGTTCCGCCCCGGGAATGAAATCGACCCCCTCCCCTCCCCCTACCCCGGCAGAGCCACCCCGGCACCCACCCCCGTGTAAAGCTGAAGCTCAGGACTTGAGGCTCAGGCTGTTCTGAGGGTCTTGGAAACTCACACGCCGGATCTGCGGATTTGTGTGTTCCTGGGCCTCTTCATTCTTCATCTGTTTCTTCTTCTCCTTCCCCTTTCTCTTCCTCTTCCTCGTCTTCTTCTCCAGCTTCTTCTTCTTCTTCTTCCCATGCGTCCCCAGGCCCCTCCCCCCACCGTGGGCCGCGCACGTGCTTCGGGCCATGATTTCTGTCCTCCCCCCCTCGGCCCTGGGCCACGCACGTGCTTCAGGCCGTGATTTGTGCCCCCACCCCCCCTTCGGACGCCCCCTGGACGGCCCCCGAGTCGTAGAAACGTCAGCGAGGTGGTCTGAAGTGCTCGGACCTCTGCGGCGGTTCGCGGCGGTCTTCCGGCGGCGGGAGAGGGGCTCTCCGAGGGTATTCCGGGGGGCGCCCTGGGCGTCCCCGATCGGCCGCCAGAGGCCACGAGGCATTACCCGCCTGCCAAGCCCTGGTGAGCTGAGCAACTGTGCGACGGGAGGGTTTTCGCAATTTGCGGCCCTTGTCTTCGGAATTTCGCGGCCAATGGTTTTGTTTGTTTGTTTGTTGGTTTGTTTGTGCGTGTTTCGTGTTTTTTTTGCACAGAGCCATGCAAGCCTGGAAGGTTTTCTTGTTTGTTCGTGGAAGCCTTTATGTGTTTTGGTTATTGTTGTTTTACATGTTTTGCTACAACCGAACCAACACCAACGAACAACGCCCTGACAAAGATAGCCACAAACTATCTGCCACATCTCATTGGCATCTGCCAGAACATCGGCTCTGCGTTCGCAGAGTTCGGCCAACATACCGCACTTGAACACAACAACATGTTTCGAGTTGGGCGCTCGGCCTCTGGAGGCCCTCGCCAGGCCCTCGGACCGTCGGCGGCCAGCTCGGGACGAAAATCCGGTCCCGCTGTGAAGGCGAGCTCATGACGTCGGGGGTCTGGGTGGTGGAGGCCCACGATAATTCGAGCCCTGGCGCGGGGTTGGTGCTTTAGGGTGCAGCTCCTGGGAGGTCAAGTGCAGCATCGGCGCTTGAGCATCCTGGGTCGGAGGCCCTTGTAGGTACCGCGTAGTCTTAAGTCGGGCCTATCCCTCTGCAGGGGGAAAAGTCAAAACAAAAAAAAAACTGGGGACGATTCCTTGATTCCCCAATCAGAGCTTGCCTCTGTAGGGTTCCTAACGGATTCACATGGTTAGGTCAGGTTTGCCGCTGATTTTCGCCGCACGCCCGGGTGCCCGGGGGTGACCGGGTGCCCGGGTGCCCGGGTGCCTGGGTGCCCGGGTGCCCAGGTGCCCGGGTGCCCGGGTGCCCGTGTGCACGGGTGTTTGGGTGCCTGGGTGCCCAGGTGCCCGGTAGCTCTATATAATAGCCTTGTAGCCCTATAGCCCTGTAGCCCTATAGCCTTGCCTTAATAGCCTTATAGCCTTATAGCCCCATAGCCCCCTATAGCCCCCTATAGCCCTACAGCCCCATAACCCTATAGCCCTATAGCCCTATAGCCCTATGGCCCAGTAGCCCTATAGCCCCATAGCCTTCTAACCCTATAGCCTTATAGCCTCATAGCCTTAAAGCCCTAACAGGATTATGATTGGAGTTTTTCTCCGGTATCATTATTTCTGACTGCTTTGGAGCATTGTTTGAACATTTTCGTTTTTCTCGTAAAATCCGCATGTAGGGGGTCATGCCCGACCTAAGCGTGGTCCCGCATGCAGATTTGGCTTGATCCTGCTCAAGCTGGCTTCATGTGCTCAGTCCGGCATTCTCCGGCTCAGTGGTACTCTGGTCGGGATGAGTAGCCTGCAATCGTTCTCACGAAGACCTCCCATGGGTTGCTTCCTTTGGTGCTGACCGGGCAGCTTCTGCACGGGCGCCGCCTGCCACTGTCAGCGGGGGCAGACAGGGCGAGTCGCCAGGCATGCTGGAAGTCGACGGCAGTCCGAGCGCGGGGTCGGTGCTGACGGGCCAGGCCCTGCAGATAGTGCGGCTCGACATGGCGGAGGGGAAAGCCGTTGTGGACGAGGAAGCGCTTGGCCGTCTGGAGCAGAGTCTGCGGGCGCTCGGCCCGATGAGGGTGTCGGTCGTGTCTGTCATGGGGGCCTTCCGGACGGGGAAGTCGTTCCTGCTGGACCTGTTTCTCCGCTTCCTCCGCCACGAGAAGAGGTGCGGCCCAGAATCGAGGGAAGGAGCACGATGACCATGACCGAGACGTCGCGGGATCTTGTCGACGCCGATCCTGGTCATGGCCAATGCCGGCCGTCGCTGATTCGGAACGGCGATCCACGGATTGACGATGGCCAGGACGGACCATTACCGGGGGAGCGTAAGACCCGGGTTTGCCAGGACTCGGGTTCGCCATCGTTTTTTGACGACCGCGCCTCGGACTTTGACGAGGAGGAGTTTCGTGGGATGTTTGCAGCGGGAGGCCTCGTCAAAATGCAGGCTCGGCCTCGTCATTTTTTGACGACCTCGTCGGAGATTTCCCAGTCCCCTGTACCCGGGTCTTACGCCCCCCTGACATTACCGAGACCGACGCCGGCAATCCCGCGCTCAGTCTGAGTCATGGTCCTCGTCTTCCTCCCCTCCGCAGCACGCGGCTCGGCTGGCCCGCCCCCGCGTGGGGCGGGCGCTGGTCTCGCCCCGCCCCCGTGGATGAGCAGCGGCGGTGGCCTGCTCGAGGGCGCCGGGGGCAGCGCGGGGGGCTTCAGGTCCAAGGGCGGCATGGACGGGGTCACCGAGGTCTGGTTGACCAAAAACTCGGCTAGACTAAAACAGGGCTAGGATCGGGATAAATCGCTGCAGAGCGTTCCGGAGCGCTCTCAGAGCGTTCCAGAACGCTCTGGAGCGGCCGCGGCGCCCAATACGCTCTCCAAACCCGCCGATTCTCAGCGATTTCGAGTGATCCCGATCCGATTTTGTCCCGATCTTTGTGTCGTTTTATAGACGTAACAGAGTCACCCTTCACCGGAGTGACCTTCAGTGCGGGCCCAACGAGGTCCCCCATCGCTGAGCGCGAAAAGGCAACAGCAGTTTGCGCGCCCGGATTTGGCCACCCCGCGTCCCCCGTTAAGCCGCTCACCGAAGGCCGCTCTTGCCCAGGGTCACTCTTACGTGTAGCCGAAAGAAGGGGTCCAGCGGAAAAGGAGGTGATAAAAATTAGGTTTGGAGCAATTGATTTGTTTGGGGCATTAGGTTTGTGGGACGTGCGATACAGACTGGTGCGCACATGTATTGTTGGACTTTCGCGTGCAATACCTCAGTTGGCGCAATACATTTGCAATACAATTGCCCCACATCTATAGCACCACCCCCTTTCAGCTGAACCCCCCTGTGGGTCAACCAAACGAGGGCATCTGGGTGTGGTCGGAGCCCTTCGTGCGCGTCGTGCAGCGGGGCCCTGTCGCGGAGAGTGTTGCGGTCATCCTCATGGATACTCAGGGCGCTTGGGACGGCAGCATGACGAAGGAGCAATTTGGAGAGCAAAACGCGTGCACCCGTACCCGCCGTCCCTACTCCAGCCTCCCTCCCTCCCTCGTCCCCGCCAGAGGCATGGGGCAGGTTGGTGCACCCCTTTTGCTTCCCGTGGTCGGCAACGGTGTTTGGCCTCACGGCTGTGCTATCATCCAAGTTGATCTACAACGTAAACATGCAGGTGCAGGAGGACAAGATCGAGAATCTCGCTTTCTTCGCTAGTTTTGCCCGATCTGCGCTTTCCAGGTCGGCTGGCACTGAGCAAGCGGAGATGGGTTGCACGCTCTCTCAGGAAGATTTGGATCGTCCGTTCCAGTCCCTCGATTTCTTAGTGCGCGACTGGAGGCATTTCCGGCCAGAATGGAGCTTCGATCAGTGCAGACAGCAGATGCAGCAGCACATTCGCAGCTTCATCGATCCTGCCAGGGTGAGGGAAAACAGCACCGCCGAGGTGCTGAACGGGATGTTCCAGAGTATAGACTGCTTCTGTTTGCCACATCCCGGCTTCGCGATCGAGAGGGAGACTTGGTCTGGCGATCCAGTGGCGTTGCCGCGCGCACATCCGCCACTTGTTTTTCCCGAGGCTGCTGTGCACTTCCGTTGCACAGCGTGGCGCGACCAGGGCTTTCCGATGGCTTTCAGGGGCTTTGGGGATTTTGCGGCTTGGGGCCGCCTGGAGGTCTGAGATGGCTCAGCACCGGTTCTGGCAAGCAAGAAGGGCGGGTAGGTTCGAGGTTCTGGGTTCGGGATTTGTTTGTTGTTGCCTTTTTCGACCTCCGGAGGCCGTTTTAGGGCCTCAGGATTGTAAAACAGGGGTGAAACACTGCACCAGCTTGACCCCAGGAGGAGTCCGGGGACAGGTTTCAAACGGATATTGCTTGATCCATGATGGAGAGCGTGTCTTACTCCCAGGCGAAACCGGGCGCTTCCAGGTTGGAGGGGGGCCCGCAACGTCGCGTTCCGCGCCGGCGCCGTTTGCGAATCTTAGCAATAAGCACAGACAGTCTGGATGACAGATACTTATAGAGATGCTAAGACTGAGCGCGCACACCTATACAATAGGGGTGCGCCTCCCTGGTGCTCCGGCAGAGCGCTTCCCTTCTCCTTCACCCCCTGGTCCGCCGCATTCCTCCGCCGCATCCTCCTCTTCCTCCTCGCTCCTCCATCGCTCCTCATTATCCTTGCCTCCGTCGTCGTCCTCGTCGTCGTCATCGTGTTCCTCGTTGGGAACTTGAAAACTGCCCTGCGTGTTCAGCTGCATACGGCAAGTCCCGCCACCGTGCCTGGGTTGTGGGTCTGAATCCTTTTGGATGCTCGTTGGGATCTCGTGGGAGGCCTCTCGGGGGCCACTTGGAGACAGCTGTGTGGGGGCCATATTGGATCCTCTTGTGGCCTTTTGGAGGCCTTTTGGGGCCTTTGGGGGGCCTCGTGGGTGCCTCTTGGGCACCTCTTGGTGCCTCCTGGGGGCCTCTTATGGCGGAAGGCTCGGATGTTCGGCTCGTGTTCCCTCTCTTGGGCCTCTTTGGGGGCCGTGTTGGGGCCCTCTTGGGCCGTCTGGGGCGCCTCTTGGGCCGTCTTGCGGTGTTCTGAGGCCGTCTTGGGGCTCTCTTGGAGGCTTTCGATTGTTTTGGGGTGATATTGGTGGCGTCTTAGGCCGTCTTGGTGCGTCGGAAAGACGAAAAGGCGAGAGCCCCCAAATTCTCAAAGCACCTAAGGACTATCACTGATATTTGCCTCTTGGGGCCCTCTTGGAGGCCTCTTGGGGCGTCTTGGGGGCCTCTTGGGCCATCTGGAGGCCATCTTGGGCGCTTCTCAAAGGCATCTGCTATCCGAGCTCTGCTATCCGAGCTTTCTTGGCTATTCCTAGGCATTCGCAGACGGCGCCAGCACGAATCTTAACGTTACCAAGGAGCAGGGGGGAGGACCAGGGCCGGTAACGACCGCGTCGCGAGAAAAACAGCACATCCATTCCAGACCCCCCGGCCGCTTCCCATTTGGGGCCGTCCTGCGCGTCGAAGGATTGTTGGATTGGTTCTTGAGTCGTCTTGCATCCTCTGTGGGTCGCCTTGACGGGGCCCTGCGGCCGCTGTTGGTCCATTCTTGAGCCATGCTGGGCCGCTCTCGAGTCCCTTGCTGGGACTCTGGCCGCGGGGGGCGAGGCTCCTGGACCGCCAGGATGCCGTCCGGGGCGTCCGGAGGCGAGCTGGAGGCTGAGCGGAGGCCATCTTGAGCCCGTCGGCCGGCCCCAAGGAAACAGCAAAAAGGGATACCGCGGACCCTTGCTGGTGGCCTCGGGGCCGTTTTGGCCAGTTCTGCGAGCCTGGGGCGTTGCTGAGCTGTCTCTGAGAGTCCGCTGTTTCCAGGCGACGGTGAAGCCGTTCTCCGTCCCGGGCCAGTGACGTGGGCCGTTTGAGGCCCATCTTGGAGCGGTCTTGGGCAGTCCTGATGCTGCCAAGGCAGGTCCCTCTCGTGGGAGTCCTTGGATACCACGGCGGCCCAGGCGCCACGAGGCGCACTCGACGGTCCAAACGTTGTTCATTATGTTATAGGCATCCAGTCAAGACGCTGAAATCAAAGCCACTTTGGGCTCAGGAGGGCCTCGTCACACAGTCGGGGCCGATTAGAGGACACGCGAGAGGACACGCGATTGGCAGGGCCGACCTGCCTATCCGTCTCGACTGGTAGGTTCCGACCAGCTCCTGGGATCTAGGTCGAGGAGCCCGTGCGTGGCTGGGGCTCGCCGTGGCCAGGGAAGCCCCTGCGTTCCCTGGGGCAGTCCCCGCAGCAGCACCATGACTGCGCGTCGGAGTGCGCCTTCAAACACAAGGATTCAGCCTCAAGCACAGCCTTTGTGGGCCCCGGAAACGGCAGGGCCGTTTTTTCACCGTTGCCGAAAAAATGTCCCTTGAACATGGAAACGGCAACAAAAACGGCGACCAGAAACGGCCAAAAAACGGCTCCAGGATTGGAACCGGAGCCGGAACCGGTAAAACAGCGGCGACGGAACCGGTAAGAAAACGGCGTCAGAACCGGTAAAAAAACGGCAAAACGGAACCGGTAAAAAAACGGCCCTGTCGTTTCCAGGGCCCCTTAAGAGCACAGCTACACAATCACCCTTCGGGTGATGAGGTTGTTGTGTGTGTGTGGGGGGGAGGAATCCGTTTGGCTATGGATCTATCTTTCGGGACACGCATCAATTGGGTGGCAAATCATGAGAGCCTTGCGTACCCTCGCAATTATGCCTTCAGCGTCGATTAGCGTCTGGGAGTCGATGAGATAGCGCCGATACATCGTCTTCTTAGCGTCGATTTAGCGTCGGGTAGCGTCGAGTTAGCGTCGATTAGCGTCGACTTAGCGTCGACTAGCGTCGATTCGCAAGAGCCGACAAGATGGTATGTGAGGCTCCCATGAGTTCCGACCGGACATCAAAAAGCATCTGGGCAACCAGCAGAACCAGGTGGCATCCATTTGCCCGGGCGCTCTTCCGTGTAGGACAACATAGTAAGGACATACCAGGCAACGAGACACCACGGAACACCACGGAACACCACCGTCGATCCAGTTCTCGATCTCCCTCCATCTATCGACCTCACAGTCGATGTCATGTTCGTTCCCACGATCGATCTCACAAACTATCTCGCATTGATATTATATATATGTATACATATAAGTATGTATGTAATCATACATGTATACCGATCTCAGTCACTATCGATCTCGCATTCAGTTTACCGATCGACTACACGATCGATTTCACTCGCCATGAACCTATCGATCTCACTATCGATCTCCCTCCATTTGTCGGTTTCATGCTATAGACATATATATATATATATCTTACAATCAACCTCATAGTCGATCTGATAATCGATCTCACGATCGACCCCACAATCGATCTCACTATCGATCAATGCGTACAAGCTACTTCACGCACATTTGGCTCTCACCTGTGTCGCCTTAGGCAACACCTTCATATTACCATATACAGCGCTCTCGCTCGGGCGGTTCCTTTCATTTTGTCTTTGTTTGTCCGACGTGTTGTGTGAAGCCAACGCTTCGCGTGACATGTCCTTCGCGTTTGTGCGCCGTCCCCGCCGTGAGCCCGTCTGGGTAGGCGTATTGGGGTCGGCGTTGCCGAGTGCTTTTTGGGGGGGCCCGAAGTGGCCCTTCCTGTCTTTGCGGTACCGTTTGCGCACTGCGCGACGGACTCCGTGCAGTCCGCTAATTATTCAATCGAAATCACAATCGTTCCCACTATCGATGTCCCCATCGACCCCCACGGGACACCACGGGACACCCTGGGACACCGCGCCGCGGGACACCTCTGAGCACCACGGGTCACCGGCGGGGCACACCCTTCGGCCACCGCTGGCCACTTGGGGGGAGGAGACACAGTGAGCCCAGTATCGCCCTAGCCAGGACGGGATCATTCCTTTCGCCCGCCCACGCAGCTTTCGCCTCGCCCGCACGCACGACATGAAACCGAAACCGATTGCCTGGTGGGGGGCTCTCCGTTTCACTGCGATCTCACCCCCCCGCCTCCAATGAGTTAAGCAAGCGACTCGAGTCACACTTTCCGCTGCAAGCGCGTTGGCGGACATCGCTGCAATCGACCAGGATTTCCTTTGTTTCGCCGATGCGTACGTCAGGCAGGTGTTCTCCAGCGCTCCGGATGCCAAGGTGATCTTGGGCCAGGAGTTGAGCACGCTGACTTTCCCGCTCATCCTGCAGAAATTTGTCGCCGCGTTCCAGGACATGGCGCCACAGGCCATGTCGTTCATTCAGGCGATGGCCTGCAGTACAGAGCTAATCGCCAAGGACCACGCAATGACGGCATATACGACATTTGTCAGGGGTGAGTTATCGAAGAGCAAGCATGGCTTGAACGACGGTGCCTTCGACGCTGTGAACAGCGCAGCGAAGGAAACGGTGAAGGCCGATTTCGATCAGATGCTCATCTTTGGAGGTGACGTCGTGAGACGGGACATTTGGAAGAGCATTGAGGATAGCTTGGAAGATTTGCAAACGACCCTCCGCGCTGAGAATGAACGATTACTCGGACAGGGGCTTGTCGCTTTTGCAGGTGTTGCGTTGCTCGGCGTATGTTTCTTTATGGTCGACCGTGCTAGCGACATTGTTTGCGATTGGTGGCTGCAGACGTGCGTCGATCTAAGCAAGCTGATGTGCCTAGGCTACTGCAGCATTCTTGTCTACATTGTCCTGCAGGTGTACCGCCTGGGCAGCGACAGCGGGAAGCTTTCAGTAGCTAGCGCAATCGCGGAGATGTGCAAGGAAATGGTTAGATTGCTTATTGTGTACGGAGATGCAGCGAAGTGTTTCAAGCTTACAGATGTGCCAGCCCTTGCAAGAATTGCCCTCGCCTCCTTGGGGGCACGGCCATGCCAAGAGAAGAAGTCCAATTGAACTCCTGTCGAGCATTTGCATCGTGCCTTCGATGATGGTGGCACCGTTCGTCAGACAAGGGGTCGTGATGAGCGAAAGAAGGTGGGCCATTCTGAAAAGGGAATCATCTTGAACCTTGCGCACCCCGATTTGGGACATGTTATCTGTTGGCGACGTTTCACATCGGCAACGCGAGGAAACGCAACGCAATGACATGCAGTGCACATCACATACTATACTAGCATAGCCGTGTGGTGTTTTGCGCTGGCTACCATACGATGGCATTGCAGTAGCGTGTAGAATTGAGAAGTATGGCACATTGTTGACCCGCGTATCATCGCGTAGCAAATCATGTCATACCTCATACCATAGTACGAGGTAGCGGCAGCGTTGTGTGCGTAGCTCCGCTTGTCATTGCGCAGTATTATGTATCATTGCGTAGCATTGCCAATCATTGCGTTAGTATGACCTTACATGTGCGACATGGCACATCCTGGCATCATAGCGCAGCATAGCATGGTATTGGACTGCACAGCGTAGCGTGGCGTCGCGAGGCATATCATTGCATATCAGAGTGACGCGTGGTGTACAATCGCGTCATATAGCAGACCACCGCATACCATTGCATCGCAGAGTATAACACCGCGCAGCAGAGCATGTCATACCATCCCATCCCATAGTACAGAGCGGAGGCGCCAGACGCCATGCCCACCGCAATCTACCATCACTAGAGGCCGAGCGGCTCCGAGGACCCTCACTATGGCCACCAGTTCATGTGCACGGGAGAAGTTGGACCCCCTTGTGCGAGGTTCGATTGGGAAGCTTCCGGGGAGCTGTGCATCTCTTCGGAGGACGCCGGTTATACATTAGTGCACCGCTTTTGGCCAGGTCTACCCTGGGCCCAGGCTGGGCTCAGCCAGGATCGGTGTAGGGTGCATGTGTGTAGTTGCCGTCATCCGACCTCTCCTTGGCATCGCTCGGACGTGTGCATTTTTTCTCGGTGACGGCCATCGAGGACCATCCTTGATCATTTGGCGAAAAAAATCACGCACGAAATACAAAAATACACGAGGAATGGACGTCCGAGCGATGGCGAGTCTCTGCCTCCCAAGTCAATGGTGAATACCTCCCCAGTGAGGCGTCCCGAGCTCCGTCATTATTCACCATTTGTTTACCTAGCTCCCTGGTCATATCGCGACGTCTTGGCTTTGGAGGTGGAACCCTCGCACTAGTGTGGTTGGCCTTCCAGGAGGGAACACAAGGTGCGCAGCCTGGGCCCCGCCCACGAGCCTACAGTCGGGTGGATATTGTCGGTACTGGCTTGTTGCATCGCATGTTAACATCGGAAGCGTACGCGCACGCGCGCGCGCGCGCACGCGCATTCTTTTTGTTGCAGCGGCGTGGCACCAAGTCGCGGTCGGAGGCAGCCGAGGGGCACTGCGGGGCCAGATTTGGCGCAGTCAGGAGCGGGAACAGAACGAACGGGGACGCGGAAGCCGCGGGCGGCGGAGCGCGCTGGGAGCACGAGTCTTGCGCGCACGCGCGCGCGCTCGGGATCGGGCTCGGTCTCTGGCTCCTCCTCCTCCTCCTGCTCCTCCTGCTCCTCCACCACCTCCTCCTCCGGCTCCTCCTGCTCCTCCACCTCCTCCTCCTCCACCTCTTCTTCCTCCGCCTCGCTCCTCTCCTCGGGCTCGGGCTTGGTCTCAAGCTCGCGCTCGGGCTCGGGCTCGCGCCCAGACTCCAGTCGTAGTGGTCCTGCGGGTGGGGCTGCCCTGCGGGTTGCCCCGCGGTTGCCCCGCGATGGTCCCGTGGTTGGCTCTGCGGTTGTCCTCCCGGGTTGTCCCGCGGTGGTTCCACGGGTATCCAGTGAATCCACGTGCGCCTACGCACGCGGAAACTCGCGTTGAATTGCATGCGCGCATGCATGCGGGCACCAACGAGGCCACTAGAAACATGCTCCCCTGGACGGTGACCGGACAAGAGGTGTCCACCCCAACGGCGCGAATACCGTATCACGTGGTGTTGGATAGCATTTTGTACAACGAGTGCCTCAACCCCCTCCCCAAAGCCCAAAGTTGAAGTGTCCACGTTTAGCCTTCCGCGCGTGACTTCGCGCGCACTGCCTTCAACTTTGGCTTTTGGGGGATGGGACTATCGATGCGTTGGATGCACTTTGCCGCATCGTTGTCCTGGCGCGATGCGCGTGGACACTTGTTTGTCCATCCACCGTGTTTACCAGACCTGCCCTGTTGGTTCTGAACTTCAGGCAAGCTGCGTTTACCGTGAACGTAGACCAGCCCGGGACGCGCAGTCTGGAAATCCATGTGACTCGCTGAGGTTCGCGATAGTACTCGTACATTACCCGCGGGGAAGAACTGGGTAGCGGATAGCATTCGAAGATTTGCTTCCGAATTAAGTAGAGGTTGATTACGTGTTCAAATAATGTGACAATTCATTGTACGATTGTATCATTTCACACGCGTAATTATTGTACGAGCCAAATGACGAGTCTTTTTCAAATACTATCAGACATGCGAGTGGCCCGCGCCCCAGCCACGAACCCACGCACAATCCGACAAACATTCACTAGCAACGATTCACCCAGTGTAGGAAGCGCTGCATAGGAGCTGCGCGCGTGCTCAGGAAGCGCTGCGCAGGAGCTGCGTAAACACTTGCGACCATTGGGAACGAGTAGGAAACCATTCCCGGGACCCGATGAAGCATCCAGAAGGCCGGTGCAGGGCTGACAGGCACCTGCCAAAGGAACGGGCACCTGTCCCTAAAGCCTTCGTCCCGTTGGTTCATCGTCTTCGCCCTCCTTCGGAGGCCTCGAGGTTGGCACCGACACCAATACCGGCGGAGCACCTATACCGAAGGAAGATCATCCGGGTCTCTGTGATGGTGGCAATATTCGGGCTTTCTAGGTGGCCGACAGATTACCACCGACACCGAAATCTAGTATCATCCTCCCCCGGTGGGCGCACTCCCTTGTTGTGGTGTTGGCGCCTGTTCTGAAACCTCCAATTCTTCGACCAGACCGAGTCCCACAGCCGCGCGCCCGCAGCGTGCCCCTGGATAGGATGCGGCAAGCATTAAGTCGGGCCTGTCCCTCTACAGGGCTCAAACAAAGCTTACACAAAGCTGAAACAAAGCTCAAAGCTCAAACAAAGCTCAAACACAGCTCCAACAAAACTCAATCAAAGCTCAAACAAAACTCATGATGCGCAAGAGCAGCATTGTGATATTGTTAGTTCCGTGGCCCTCAGGCTCGAACCCGCTCAGCACAGCAAGGGTGCAGTGGGGGTCGTGCGATGTCCCCGCCGAGCTCGCTCAAGTCACTGCCCAGCACTCTGGTATAGCACTTGCAGCGAACGCGTCATCTTTTTGATGTTCCTACTTGCGCGTTGCATGTGACGGCATGACAGAAGAAGAGCCTTCAGTCGGGGGAGCGTAAGACTTGGGTTTGCCAGGACTCGGGTTCGCCATCGTTTTTTGACGACCGCGCCTCGGATTTTGACGAGGAGGAGTTTCGTGGGATGTCTGCAGCGGGAGGCCTCGTCAAAATGCAGGCTCGGCCTCGTCATTTGTTTGACGACATCGTCGGGGATTTCCGAGTCCCTTGTACCCAGGTCTTACGTCCCCCTGATTCAGGAGCTCAGTCGGCGGAGCGAGGCGGGCAGCGACGGCAGCTGCTTGCCCCGCCTGCGGGTCCTGCGGGCGGTCGGGAGCGCAGCCCCCCCGGCGCAGTCCCCGTGGCGAACCCGCGTCGCCAGGCGTGGCTCTTTTAACGGGCGAAGAACGGTATAAGATACTTTTTCGCTGTCGGGGGCGCCTGCCCCTGGGCGGCTGGGAAGTTTATACCCTTGCGGTGGCACCGTAGGGGTATAAACTTTCCAGCCGCCCAGGGGCAGGCGTCCCCGACGGCGAAGCAAATATGTTATACCGTTCTTCGCTCGCTGACTCCTGCCAGCCAGGTGGCCGGCTTCCGCCCTGCGGCAGGAGGACCGGCCGCGACGGCATCGGCAGGCGGCGAGCTCATGGCAGTTGATTCTGGCCGAGTGGATTACCTTGAAATCCGCGAGCACATCGAGCGCATGTTCAGGGGCTACGTGGGCCCAGAAGTCCATCAGTTGAGCGGAAGATCGGGACCAATCGGAACCAGAGATTCTGGGAGAGTTCCAAAGAAAAATAGAACGCCGAATTGTGGAGCGCAGCGCGCGCATTCGCAGAAGTTCCCCAAGGACTGTTCGAGGGCTTGAGGAGCCCAAGTAACGCATGGGCGCTCAATTAAACTGTTGAGGGCGGGCAGAAAAGCTGGTGTGCACGAGCATTGGGAGCGGGTGCGCGGCTTGCACGGGGGGCGCAGTAGGTTTGCGTTTCAGGGGCTTGGGCGCTGGCCGATGCGTCGATGGGGGGCCCGAGAGTGCGTCGCACATATTACGCCTGTGGCGCCATGGAGGCCGCATGTGAGGTTGCAGTGGGGCGGGCGCCCCGTCGCGCGCACCGTCGCGACAGCTCTCTTGGGCGCCCGCCCGCCGCCGTGGACGTAGTTGGCCCAGCTAGTCTCGCGGTCGGCGCGCGGCGGGTCGGCAGCCGGGACGCTGGCGGCTTGAAAATGCTTCGAAAGTGTTTCTCCCTGAGCCCGGGGCTACTGTGCGTTTTCGGTGGCGCGTGCAGCTCGGAAAAGAATCGCCTTGTCCGTCGGCGGCCAGTTGGCTGTCGTCGCGCAGAAGTGCCGGCGGATGGCGCGGTCCACGCTTAGCGCAAAGAGCGTGTCCATGAGCGTGGATTCGTCGAGGGGCAGGAGGAAGGACCTCGTGGTCGGGACCATCGCGGCCTGCGATTTCCACGGCCCCTACCCTCGGCACGTGAGGACCTGCTGGACGCCGCCGTAGGCCGATTTCAGAGAATCTCGGAACGGGAAATCGGGGCGCGCCAAATTTCGCGGGCCGAAAAACTCTCAGAGAGTTTCGGCCAGCTCCGAGGTTTTGGGTTTATGGGAATGTTTCACGCGGGGTGTCTAGTTCAGAGATTTTCAGAGATTCTCAGAGAAGTTCGGACGCGAGAATTTGGCGCGCCCCGTTTTCTGGTTCTGTGAATCTCTGAAAAGCGGTTCCTCAGGTTGTACCGGATTTCCAGGCGCCCCACTGTCAGCCAGAGACGAACGACTGGCTGGCGCCGCGC